CTTCATAATCATATATGTAAGGTAGCCTATAAGGCTCTTTATCATGTATTCTCCCAGCTAAGTTAAGATCTGTGGGAAATAGAAAAAAATCCCTAATATTGCACTTCATATTTTTGATTGAATTAGTGGCTTACTGGAACTAATTTCCACTGCTTTAGCCTTCAGCAGCTGCTTTGTATTGCTTATATCTGGAAGTTCTAATTAAAAATTGTTGCTTGCACTCAACTCTGCTCCCTTTTTTCCAGCTAGATTTAGCTCAGGAATTTTACCATAGGTAGTTTCAAGTTCTGACACTTCCTTTGAGGTCACTAGCCAAACTTGATTATTGAGCTTAGCAGCAAGCTCTGTCAAAACTTTCATGACCCTCTGCTTGTGTTTAACACTATTCTCCCCATCAGGTGGCTTGATTGCCCCCTACAAGAATATGCAGTTCAATCGGTGAACAGAATTCCTCAATAATTTTTCAAACAAAAACTTACTCACATCAGCACCAATAAAGAAAAAAGACTTTTCTGCTTGGGTATAGTCCTGACAAATTCCTTCTGCCTCTTTCTTTCCCAGCTTGGGAACCTTGCTGATTGATTTTGGATTGATACTGAACAGCTCTGATTTATAACCAAGGGACTTGGTTGAGTCACCTGTGTGAGCTGAATCCTTGCCTTCATTTAAAAACATGGTCTGGCATTGATTTAGGAATAAAAGAGTGATTCCAATAATTGTGTAGAACATTTTTTCTTTTTGGATGGTGATGTGTATGTTGATGGGAAACAGCCTGAGTTGTTATTTATATGGTTTCACGGCTTGATGTTGTGGAGCAGGCAAGTTTTTAAAAGTGAGGGGATTTCATGTCTGTTGGTGAGTTGCTAATTTGACTACATTGCTTCAATGAGTATTTTACCTTGACATACAGTTTGCTTTGTCAATACTTTTTCCCCCCTTGAAACATGTGCACAAACTGTAAAGGCATGAAAAGTTTCCCCGCTGAGGATGTACAGACCCTATGCTGATGACTTTTCCACTTCAATGATTTGATGTAGAACATAGTGACCTGCATTGTCTTGCTGAGGACATGCACTTCCAATCACTTGGTATAGATTGCTTGTTGCTGGATTCTCCTCAGTAAAATGCCGCAACTCAAGTTTGATAGGAAAGACTACTTCTCAATGAGAAGGCATCCACCATTCCATGTTTCCAGGAAGATGTCTGTTGGACAGACTAATACCAGTTGTGTCTGTTTGCCATGGAGACATCTTCCCCCAAGAACTGATAGATAGCCATTACAAGTTCCACAAAGACTCAGGCATAGATGTGATTTCATGCTTATCCCACACCCATACAAACTTGAATTTCATCAAATCCATTGGAGGTTGGTTTCTTTGTGTTTACCTCTCACCTCTGCAGCAGTGAAACATTGAATATCCTATCTTTACACTGTCAACCTGGCATCAGTATTTTGTCACCTTGCCACTCTCAGGATTCCATAAAAAGGAGTTTTTTGGAGTAAAATAGTGGCTAACAGAACATTCCCAGAGTATGCTGCTACGTCATACCAAGACCCTAAACCAAGCCCAGGTTTGTTTATTGGTAAATTGGGATAAGCAAGGGGAACCTGTGTTCTTTGGATGTCCAATATCAGTCTAAATGACAGATTCATGCTAACATACTGATAGAAATGTCCTAGGGCATTTGCAGCATCTGGGGCTTGGGATGTACTCCATTCCCTAGCTTCAACACAACAGTATTATTAAAATGGGACAATAGGGCAGGCTCTGGATTAGATGTAATACCAGAGCTATTGAAATGGACTCAGACCCTACTGCACTATCTTAGTAGGGGCCAATTGGTGTGTTATGTTATTTGTCTGCAATAAAGAATGCTATAGCACTTGGCTCTCTGGATTCCCATTTAAAATAAGAGAAGCGACTGGGGCCAAGCACAAGAAGAAGTTTATTGTATATGTTAGTGCGCTGTTAGTGCCACCATGCTACATTGCTAAAGGGATTTTAGTGGCAAAAAAGGCCCAAAAACCGCCAAAATGTGCTTTAGCGCAGCACATTGGGCCCTTTTATGCTTTTCACATGCATAGCGTTTGTGCAGTTGTGGCAGAATTCTGCTGTGCTAAGCAAAACGTTAGCGGAATTCTGCTATTTTACACTGCACTAACCGCTATGGTTAGCTGGGCAGCCCAGTGTTGGCGGGGAGATTGTTTTTGTTGGAAAAAGACTTTAGATTCTTAGCCAGTTCCTGGGCACAGCCATCACAGATTTGGCCCTGTTGACCAGGTGCACTAAAGGTATAACAGGTGACTGTAAACTGCTTACCACATTTGGCCCAATCGTGATCAATCCTAGCTTTCAGCAACGATGGGTCTTTACTTTACAGATATTGGTATTGTACCGTTACAGTATTTTTTTTGACTCAATAGCCCTACGGGTTTTACCGCAATCCATATTGGATTTTTCTTTACGATATCCCAGTTTGTGGCTTTTGTTTTATTTGCTTTCATTACGATAACTGAGATATGGGGATTTTTTTTCTGTTACTGGGCAAATGGACCCATGAGCGATAACAAAGATCTATTTTTTTGGATTCAGAATCAATGAGCTCAAAGCTTTCCCTGCTTCACAGAAGTCACCCATCAGGGGGACCTCTTCACGGCAGCCGTGTTAATCTCACCTGCGAGTCCAATGATGGTGCCACCATGTTTGGTGCAATGTCAAGAGATGAAGCTCTTGATGAGTGGTGTCATTGAGTTAGAGTGATCAGTAGAATAGCCTTCAGTCTTTTTACCGCCGGAGGGGTCATTCTGAGTAGATTTTGGAGTTTGTGAGGCCTTGCTGCTTCTAGTATCTGGGATAAGGGTCCTGGGGATACTAGCAGGGGTATTTCCCACATATAAGCAGGGGATTGCTCACCAAAGGCCTGCTATCATCAACTTAGGGCTTTTTTACGCCTTTTGCCCCTGGGGGAGTTGGTTATTGTGTTAACCAGGGGTAAAACCTGTAACTATATCTGTATGAAGCAACCAAAAAATGGGTGCCTCAATACTATACTAGCTGCTTGGGGCTTGGTCCTTTACTAGTACCGGTATTAGTAATGGGTGGTCAAGCATAAATTTACTATAACAAAAGGAGCTGGTTACTGTAGAGTACATTAAAGACACATTGTTGCTTTCAGGTGCTTTATTTACCTGGTTTGGGCTTTGATGGTTTGGGTTCTTCAGGTTTCTTCTTGGAGGCGTAGGCTTTTTCTTTTGAAGGGGTAGATGGTTGATTTGGTTGGGCAAGTTTCTGTTTCTGCTTCTTTGCAGGTTTGTCGTCCAAGTCATCTGAATCTGACTCCAAGTCACTTAGACCATCCAGGGTCTCTTCAGCCACTTCTGCGGTAGAAGTTGCGGCTTGCTGGTGGAGAGGAGTGAACCCGTTAATGTCAGCCTGCAAGTACCTTTCACAATACCTGTCACCAGCTACTGTTCTAGTTACTACACAGACTACAATATGCATATTCTCTTTATTCATTTTATCTCTTTATGCTTATACAGTATTATGCATTGTACATACTATATAAGCTTTGTTCTCTTCTATTTCTATGTTCCTCAGAAATCCAAGAAGAGACGACTTTTACCCAAACCTTTCCAAATTCCTCTTGCTCCTGAAGTCAATCTAGGATTCACTTCTAGGACCGCTCCTTCCAGTTATATTGCGCCGATCCCTGAACTCAACCAAGCACGAAGCCTGTGGTCTAGTTATATCAGCGAATCACTGAACCGGAACTGGCCTTCGATTTCTCAAACTTATCACTATCCCGTTTTAGGATCCGGATCCCCTCAAGGTATCCAACTCTTACTCGATAGCTGACAGTTAACATTCCTGGCCCAAATCCCTTGTTCCTAAGTAATTGAAAACCCAACACCGGTCAATTAATCCATGCTTACAGAAGAACAAGGTTGTGTTCTGTTTGGAAAGATTACTTTTAAGTAAGATTTCAAGCAGAAGTAGGTCCTGTGACTCCTGAGGTTGAGATGGACTGGCAGTCATATTTGGTTGTGGATTCCGGTTGTCCAAGTCCTTGTTGACTTCTGTGTTGACTAAAGAACTTGAGGCTTCTGGATTTGATGGGACCCTTTGAGAAGGTGTTTGGTCATGGTTGATGGGTTGGTTAAATTGAGAGGGAAGGGCCAGGTTTTTTGGTGGTGATTAGTGAGTTTGTGGATGGTGAATAGGTTGATGGAAGTAGGAAGTTGTGTTGGAGCAAGCTTGGCTTATATTGGAACTTGCCTTTGTTGGAGAGGCCAAGACAGGTTGCAACCCGGACAAGAGGGCCCCCCAGTGAGCCCCAAGCCTGACACAGGCTCCGTGGGAGTCGGCCCTGCAGGGCCTCTTGGGTGCTGAAGCCCATTCATCAGCAAAATTTCTGGCTGAAAATTCAATCAGCAAATCTCAAAGCTAAGGAAAACATTAAATCATTGGTTAAATAGTATAGAGTCTCCCAAATTATTCCAGATCCATCCTGGTTAGACATGACATGTCACTGGAAACACCTCTAAATACATGAATCAACTGATAGTATTTTCTATGTCAAGTTGGGCTGTCCAACTGATCCCTGAAGGAAGACCTTCCCAAGAGAAAAATGCTTGAGACAGTCATCATTATGAGATACAAAAGCTTAAGAACCAGGCTGGTCCATTAGAGAAACTCCAAACTGGTGACCATGTAGCATGATCATTGATGATCATGATGGAAAATCTCATTTTTAACACACAGAACTGACTGATGTGGTTTTGGAATTTCCTTGGATCATAACAAAAACAAAATCATGAGATTAAGAACTTTAACTTCAACTGAAGAATTAGTGAGAACTTAAACTCAAGCTGAGGTTTGAGGCAGCCATACTTTTTGGTTGAAAGAATTGTTGAGAAACTTACCAGATAGAAACACAGGAATGGATTCTACCCAATAGTAGAAAAGCCTGAAATTCTTCAAATTCCAAATTGAGTGGGCTTAAGTGCCCTTGCATTAAGAAATTTTCAGCTCTGGAACAGTTTTCAGCAGAACTTATTTTTTGTTCATTTTTATCTGAAACTAGGGAATTATCTGAAATTTGAATATCCTAAATACATGATGTTTGACTTGTGCGGGCAGACAACATGAGCATGATGAATAAGAAATGGATAAAAAGTTTGACCAATGAATAACAAAAAAGTTATATGAAAGCCAAAGAATAAAATAGCCCATAAGGAATTTGAACAAGAAAAAAGAAACAAAATGTATGAATGTATAGGAATTTGACTTTTAGTTGGTAAAGAGATACAAAATCTGCTAACAGAAGTGTGCATGACTGTCTACAAAATGATAGAAGAAGGATTAAATAATTATCATTCTCCAAGGCTCTTGATCATTCCTATCAATTCAGACTGACAGAAAAAGTCTGAAAATTTGTTCATAAACCTAAAATACATTCCCAAATCTTCCCGATATTTTGTTTTAAGGCCTTGAATCAGCTCTTCATAATTTGGGTCTTTTGATTGATAGATCTTTTTCCAAATTCTGTGATGATTTTCTGAATAGTATTGTTTTCTGAATAGCTCATCCAAAATGAGTCTCTCATGGCTTGGGATCCGTTCAAACCCTGTAAGATAGACTTCTTCCCATGATTTGTATGAGCTTGATGGTGATAGCATGTTGATGAACTGGTAGACAGTTTTGAAACTTTCTGTTTTGTTATAATCCTGATAAGGAACATTCTTTTTTGTCAAAGATTCAATTATTTCTTTCATGAGTAAACTGTATTCTGGCCCTTTATTTTCATGAGTGATAATATCTTTGAATGAAGAAAATACAAAAGAAGAATCAAGATATAATCTGGTATGATGATTCATATTCAGCTTTAAAATGACTTACAAATTCTTTTCAATAAATTATGCTTTATCCTTTCTTCTAAAAATTTATTTAGAGTATGACTTAATAGAAAAGCATCATTAGTATTGATTGATGAAAACTCATCTTTCACTAATTCATGTATCAACTCATAATTGCTTTCCTGGTGATTCAAAAAGAAATCTATTTGTGGATAGAGTGGCTGAAAATCCCCAGGAGTGTGTTTATTATTTCTTAAATTCATAATGGTTCTAGTGTTTTGAATATTTCTTGGGGCATATGCTTCTGAATCAATTATTTCTTTCATATATTTATGAAACAACTTCTCCCAATCTTTAATACCTTGTGGAAGAATTAGTTTTAGATTTGGGTCATTGAATCTTTCAGTAAGCTTAAGAAGTTTGGAATGAATAGCTTCATCAACCTTGATTTGACTGATTTTATTGAAAAGAGAGTGCCACATCATTGGGTCAGGTCCAGAGGCTATAGCTGGTGACAGAAGCTGTGAGAATGAAAAAGCTTTTGAAAAAAATGAAAGGTGCCCCATTTTTCAATAAAAAAAAAAGCATATGCCAACACGTATATTTAATATCATTACATCAAAATTGAAATTTAAAAACCTCACCAATTTCTTTCAAAAGCTCATTTGTTTCCTGGATTCTGAGATTTGTTGTGAAATTCCTCTTTATGTGCCTCATAATTGAATCCATTTTTGAATAAAGAATTTTTTGTGCTTTCTTGTGAATATGATCCAGTTCTTTCTCATTTTTCCCACTAGAAGTGGGAACATTCATATTTGATCCTATTTTATTTTTGTATTTCATAGCTTTGAATGATGTGGATTCTGGTGTTAAAATGTTTTCTTCAGTCTGCAATACATTGTTTGCTTTGATAACAACCTCTTTCATCAATTCATAGTATTCCCAGGACTTGTCAAATGGTTTACCATGTTTAACAAAATCAAAAACTCTCTTGTATATATCCACCAAGGTTTGGAATTCTCCATTTTCATGAAATCCAAGCAAGTTATCCCAGAAGTTTGTATCCATGCCTTGCATCTCAGATAACTGGTAATCTTGAGACATTGTAAAAACTTTTTAAACATTCAAAAAAATCAATATCAGCATAAAAAATTTATTCAATTCAAGATTTTTATTCATTCAGGCCCCATTTGGCAGCAATATAATGCAGGCATTATATCCCCATTTCTGCCTGAAATTTAATGTGACATCCAATCAGGTCACAAAAATTTACAATGTATCACTTGCAATACATTGCGGCCAAAAGGAGCCTCAAGTTTTTGTTTAATAACTTACCATCATTCACAATTCTTTCTCCGTCTTGAATGGGCATCAGATTTAGCAAGCTCTGAAGGCCCTCTCCTAAATCAAAATCAGAAGGATTTTTGATGGTCTCTCTAACAATTCTTTCAAAATCCTCAGAGGAAGATATATCTGGATTTTGATGTGCTTGCTCAAAGACAGATTCTATGGAAGAAAAGTAGGGCTGTGTTCCAAAATTGAATTTGAACTTTGAAAAAATCTGCCAATGGTATTTTTGCTCAATTGATCCCAGAGTGGCCAAAACATATGCTTTGAAATCACATAATCATAATTTAAGCTTGGTTAGGTATAACTATCATAAATCAAATTCATCATAAACACACCAATTCCATCAAGAAAATTAGATGAATTCCACATCAAAGCAAAATTATGGAAGGTGATTGCCAGTTTGACTGTTGCCTTTCCAGGGTATATGATTGAACCTAAAGTTTTTATTTTTTCTTTTCTCCATTTTTCTGCATTGAGCTGGTACTGACCATGATTGGCATGAAAACACCAATCTTGAAGCTTTTTCAAAAGAGAATCAAAGCTTTCAGCATCTTCTGGTTCAAAAAAGGATACATTTCTGATATCTTTTTGGATTATTGCAGCCATATGCTTGTACCAGGCATTCTCTATGTCAATTCTTCCCCTCTTCACAATTGACTCTAGATCATGAACTATTATTTAAGATTCAAATAAACACCATGAATGGGAAATTGTATCTAAAAGCTTTGGCATGAGAAAATCATTTACCCATGAATTTAGCCAGTCTCAATCCAGAAGAGGTCCCAGCTACATTTTATGAGTCATATTGGAATGTTAAGGCAGAGATTTATAATTTATCAGAGGTAGTTAAAATACTTGCCCATCTCCTTCAACTGTTTGCTGAGATCTTCAATTATTGTTTGTTCTCCTGAATTCCAATCAATTTTGTGATTTGATAATTCTAGACTATTGCCAACAAGTCCAAGCCTCTCATGGACCCCCAGGACTGATTATGAAATCAGCTTTATTCAGTAATGCCAACCCTAAACATTCTTCAATTCTGGGGACTTACAAGTCTGTGTCAAGCTGGGGTATTTAACCATGCCACCATGGCAACATGTTTTTAGTAAGAATAAAACTAAAAATAAAGTCAAACAAAACATGACTTTGACTTTTATCAGTCCAGGAGAGAAACTATGAATTTGAAGATGCTGGTCAACTGAAGCTGAAATAAAAACTTGTCAATTTTTGCAAGCAAAAAAATTGCTTGTAGTGGCTTCCTTTTGCTTTTGGGAACTGTGTTGAAGCAGCCCCACTTTTGGAAACGTACTCTTAAATATTCCACTTCACAAGACTCTTTGAAACTCAAAAAGTTTGCTGTTTTACCTTCTAAGATATTGCTTTTCACTCAACTCATACTGATTTTGTAAAACCAATTACTTTATGTATTGATTACATAATTTATTGGGTATGCAGATTGATATATTTAGGTCACAGGTACTGCATATTTTTACTTTGGCTGTGCTGGAGTGTTTCACTGGAGCAGCTGATCCTGGAAGACTTGTGTTTTGAGTGATTAACAATTCATCCCAATGTATGTCAATTCAAGCATGAAAGTTCATACTCAATTCTTTGCAACTGTTTCTGATTAAGCAAGGATTTTTTCTGTACTTCAATGGAACTGAAACCCAAGCTTTTAAATTATATACTTGAAAGTGTTAAACAAAATTTTTGGGAGGAGATTGAATATACAGTGCAAACCTATCAAATATAATCCAAAAATGCTGTGGGATACTAATACTTATAACATGTTTCAACCATAATTTTTCTAAGAAGAAAATGTGATATTCATGCAGAAAACATTCTTGGTGATAGTCTGGAATTTATGATTTTTTTTCTCCTCAATGCTTGTTAACATACGTCAAGGGCCACTTTCCTGCACAGAGGGAGATTTTTCCCAGCTCATACAAGTTTTTTTTTTTTTTGATCAACATATCAAGGCACACAAGCAACTAGAGAGAATTTTGAGTTTCAAACTCAACACACTGCCAGTGACTGTTGATTCCTATGCTACAAATTCGTATTTTTTCTGTTCAAGCAAGCCCATTTATGAAATCCACAGTGGGTCTGCTGGGGTATCATCAATTATAGTCTAGTCTAATTGATTCATAGTTATACTAAAAGCTGCCATATTTCATGTTATCTGTTAGCTGAAATACTTTTCATGGTATGCTGTGTCAAAATACTTTTTCTTTACAGCTTCAAGTGGTGTAAAACAACTTAAGTGGGGCTAATGGGCCACTAAATCCCTGGAAAGGCTGTGGTCATGTCATGTAATTATCAGGTTTCAATGTCCTAAGACAAAAAAAAAACATTCCACAGACAGAGGCAAAATTTGTGTGGATTGAATGTCATGTTTGGCTCTCAGAAAAGGGGAGAACTGAGCACAAAACATAGCTCCACTTTCTCCATGATGAGATCATTCTGTGTAATTTATGGGCCACAATTTTGAAAATGAGCCTTCTGCACTACATAGTGCTTTGTACATCTGCCTACACAAAAAAATGGCACAAGAAATTCAAATTGAAAAAGTGGTCTTAATAGTTCCTTTGCTTTGAAAAAATGATCCCCACAAACTCCTGACATTGGTTTTAAAAGCTTTGTTACATATTTGTTTTCATGACATGCTGACTTTTCAACCTTGATCCTTGAATTTTCCATACAATTCTATACTGCTTTACGTAAATAGGTATCTGATTTCAATCATCAAGTCTTTGTTCCAACAAACACATACCAAAAGTCCCCTGATTTCAGTGAGCCTACTTGTGAAACCAATGCTGCAACTCTGTAGTGCTTCAACAATTTGAGCCTGAGCCGGGGATGTAGACCCCCGGCTGATCCGAAGCTCCCGGGTTGGAACGGGGAGCTGATCCGCTGAAGAACGATGCAGGAACGTTTTTGGAGATCGCCCAGTCGAGCAAGAGCATCATTCATCATGCCAGACACCCTTAACGTCACATCATCCCCTCGGACACATGGGAATATCGAGTTTGACATCGTCGAATATTACCATCGGATATTGGAGAAAGATGAGGTCAGTTGAGCGAGGACAGCCAAAACCATCCATTGAAGTATTAACTCCTTAGCTGACCTATTTGTTCTTTCCTTTTTTTGGATGTGCATAGAACTTAGCCGTGCCGATTGCCGCCGTCCAATGTCTATCAGAATGCGTGGCCAAGTCGAATGGTAAGCTTCCCCTCATGTGATCTTAATTTCAATGGCTTCAAAATGGCGTGATGTGGGTCAATTATTTCGGGTATTGACAAATTAATCTTCTTCTGGTACCTTTGAAACGCTCTTCCAATCGCGTCAAAAAACTTCGACTCATTCTTTCAGCATCGACAATGCAAGAGCTGATTGGCACATTGTACGTGGCCATCGACCTTCTCAAGCAGGCCACCTCCAACCTCATTTCACTAACAGCGGGCTGTGATCTATTTCTTCGTTTGTTGGTCTCCCTCTCTTTAGACCCAAGGAAAATGTAATAAACAGAACAGAAAAAATGAGCTAAATCGGGGCTGTTTTTTTTATGAAATTATTGACTGTTTTGTTTTAGTCTGATGACTCATCAATCGCCCGATCTTCTGGTCTCATTTGTCGATCACAAACACTCGCTCGTAAACCAAGCCCTCAAATACGTGGCCGAATCGCGCTCGAATTGCGTCGAGAAAGTCGCGAGCTCGGCCGCCCGATTTATCGAGGATGGCAGCACCATCATGGTCCATGGCTATTCCCGCGTGGTCCTTCATACCCTCTTACGAGCTTATTCACCCTCGGAGAAACCGCGGAAACGATTCCAAGTCTTTGTGACTGAATCTAGACCAGTAGGTGATTCTATTCCCTTATTTGGTTGGAATCCTTGTGGTGAATCGATGATTCTTATACCGACCATCTCATTTGTTGTCATCAGTCCGGACTTGGATTAAAAACTCATGCAATACTTGAGCAGTTTGGAATACCATGCGTGGTCGTATTAGATTCAGCGGTAAGCCTTAATCCCAAGTCTTTTCCTCAGTTCACCCGTCAAAAAGCTATCATCTCTGCACGTCACTCGATCGCTGATCTAGAGAGATAGGTGGCATATGCAATGGCGAAAGTCGATCTGGTTTTGGTTGGAGCTGAAGCTGTCTTGGAGGATGGCGGGTAAGTTTGGGAAGCTTCTATATACACCTGAATGTCTTGATCTAATCGATGTGGGGGTCCGTTTAGCTTGATTAACTACATAGGATGCTACCAAATGGCCATTGCGGCTAAAGCTCATCACAAACCGTTTTACGCTCTCACAGAAAGGTACGGTCACTTTGTCTTGATTCCTGCTCAAATGGTTTTACGCAATCGATCAATCTCGCATCCAGAAAAAAAATGATGTTGATGTGTCTTATCTGTCCGATGTTGATGGATTGAACAACAGCTACAAATTTCTGCGACTATTCCCGCTCTCCCAATACGATGTACCGACGAAACAACCGACCCTGCAATTCCCGAGTAGCAAGGCGACCAAGTCTACCGGAGTGTCTGAAAACATACCCAATCTACCCGGCTCATTGGTCCACGGTCATTCATCTATCTCGGCTAAATTGACGTTAGATCAGATTGCTAAAAATAATCCGTCACTGGATTATACTACTCCCGATCTGATCACTCTTGTCATCAGCGATTCTGGTATCCTTACCCCACCTGGGGTCGCTGAAGTCTTATTGTCAATCTTTGGTGGAGAATAGACTGCTATATAATTAATCTCAATAACAAATTTCTAATATCAGGTTTCTTCTGATGTTCATTTACTGTTCCATACTCCTGTCAAGTATATGGGTTTATATGCTCATCATCAATCAGATTCCAAGTCAATTCCCCATTCTTTGATTACATTCTTGTGCTGTCTTTAAAAAAATTCTGTGTAAAACATCATGACTGATGAATTTTGAGTGAAAGGGGTGGTAGCAAATGAATTTTGATTGATGATTAGAGAGATAGTGATATAGAGTTTAACCAAGTAGAGATCATGTTGAGTCACTTGCATCAAAGAAAGATTGATCAACTTGACAGTCTTGGCCTAAATAAACTATGTTGCCATCCAATCACCAGCCACCAAAGGCAAACAAAATACACCATGGAATCAAGGTGTTGATCTCCAATTGCCATATATTCGTGTGCCCCAATCCAGCTGCCTGTTTCACTTTCTCTTCCCTAAGAAACCACCCACACAAATCATTCCATCTAGGTGGGTTTCATTTTTATTTTTAGGAGAAGGGGGGGGATGATGGATTGTGTTTGGTTCTCTAGTAAGCTGACCAGGGGATCTCACTGGTCACATTCTTGTGATATTTATGCAAACTTGAGGAAGAGTTTAATGACTAAATTCTCACAATCTGTGACAGGCTCTTCCAATCCCACTTGTTTCAGTTCCAAGTCATTTGAGTCAGGCACCATCAGAAAGTCAGAGGGATATAGATATTGTTTTTGTTTTCTTTTAGTCTTGTAGGGTAAAAATCTATGGTAAATTGCTATTGGTTCTGTGTTGATCAGTCTAGTTATGTGTAGTGGTTTTATTTGGTTTCAATTGTTGATTGTCATGATTTGTAAGGAAGGTAGATAGTTATTGGAGTGAAAAATCAGATATCAACAACGACGCTAAAACAAGTGGGAAAAAAAAGAATGAGCTAGAGCAGAGATAGATGTTCATGAGGGCAAGGCGGAGAGGGGAGCCTGGCTAGCAAGGTCGAGGAGGATGTTTGCTTGAGGGGATTGGGCTTGGTCTGGGCTCGAAGGGCGAGTAGGCTTGGCTGACTTATTAGACTCGTCTGGGCTGGATTGGGTGGTATAATCAATGGCGGCAGAGCCAGACCATGGGATACTATCAAACAGAAAGGAGATCGATTCGCTGTAGAAAAAATAAAACATCCCAAAGCGGATTAGTATGATGGTTTCTCTTTTTCTCATCTTGGAGGTCGGTTTTTGCTTCTCAGGGGGGGGGGGGAAAGAAGAGAGAGTGTGTTGTACCCGTAATGACTACGCCTGATCGTCTCGGCAAGCACCTGTGCGATGTCCACACATACTAGTCTGTTACAGGCCTCGAGATGTTCGTGTTGGGGGATCGTATTCGTCGTCACGAGTTTAGTCATGCTGGAGTTATTGATGTTGGAGATCGCCGGGCCGGAGAGGATGCCATGGGTGACGAGGGCGATGACGTTGACGGCGCCGGCGGACTGGAGTTTCTCGGTGGCTAGACACAGCGTGCCGCAGGTATCTGCCTGTAGACCAGCCCCAGATCAATTGTCGTCCAAAACACATACACATGCGCACCCAATGAAAAGAGATGATGACTTGGTAAAGATGGCAGGGGAGCGAGCACACACCATGTCATCTACCAGAATCGCCGTCTTGCCCTTCACGCTGCCCACAAGAATCATCCGCGAGACTTCGTTAGCTTTCTTACGCTCCTTGTGGAAGAGGGCAAAGTCGAGATCGAGTCGGGCGGCGATCGAGGAGGCACTGAGGAAGCACGGCTGTGAGCATTCAGTCGTCTTTCCATCCACCTCTCTCAGCTATGTATGCAACACAAACTGCTCCGGGTTCTCTGCTCCATCAAAAAAAACCTCACTCACCGCTTCGCTCCTCCTGCATCCGGCGAAACGATCACTGCATTCTTTACATCCACGTTCTCTCGGATATATTGGACTAGTGTTGGCTCGGCGTATAAGCTAAGAAATCATTTTTCCTCGACTCCATCAGCTTCCTAGTCAATTTCCTAGTTTTTCTCGTTTGTAGAAGTGTGCTTACTTGTCGACCGGACAATCAAAGAACCCTTGGATTTGAGATGCGTGTAAGTCCATCGTCTGTTGGTCAACCAAACAATTATAAACGAAGTTAATTTTTATCTATATAGTTAATTTTGTGCGAGGTAAAGGAAAATGTGTGACTGACAATGACATGATGAGCGCCTGCTTCACGGATCATATTCGCAACCAACTTGGCGGTGATGGGGGCTCTCGATTTATCTTTCTTGTCTTGACGTCTATATACGAGATTGATTTCCACAAAACAAAAATTTCAATACTTGATCCTGATGTATATAAATGAGCTGTAGGGTAGCGGTTAACCTACGCATATGGGAAGTGAGGGATCACAGCGGTTATTCGTCCAGCGGAGGCGATCGAACAGGAGTGAATCATGATCAGGAGTTCTGGTTCAAAGTCAAGTGCGAAAAAAAAAGAAAACAGGTCAATCGAGAGAGAAGGACGAAGAGAGATTGGAGAGAAAGAACGAACCCATGAGAGCCGAGTTGGTGGTACAAGTGATCGAGCTAGCGGTTCCGATGATATAGACATCGGCCTGTCTGACGCTTTCCTTGATTGAGACTGAGATCTCTCCTGAGGGACGTCTGTCGATGGATGCGGGTGAGATGGGGATGCCGAGTCGACGGGAGACATGGTGGGCTAGGGCGGGGTGGGAGGTGCCGGTGAAGAGCTTGAGGGATGAGAAGCCGGGCATGGTTGGTTGTTTCTGTGGGGAGAAGTTGGAGTCGGTTGGTCTTGAGGACTAAGTCTTGGCCGACCCACGCCGGGGGCATGGAACGAGACAAATGTAAGCCCCGTGGCCGGCGGCGGATGATATGTATGCTTGTGCTCTAGCCCCGATCTCGGTTCTCCTTAATCGGCTGCATCCTTGGAAGCGATCGATGTGGAGACAGACACACATAAGATGTGCTCGATTGGAGTCCTGCTTCCAATCATCCAGCTCATATATTTCAGTCTCATGCTTCTTCCATCCATCACCAATCAATCACTGCCTCACTGCCCAAATTCAGTGCAAAGCCCTGTCTTCCCCTAATCAATCAACCCACCACACCTCTCTGCACAGAGGAGTAGCTGGAGGCCCCCAATGTTGGGGTGGGTAATGTAAAAAATGTACATATATTTTTAGGATTTTTCTCAAAATGTTTTGTAAGAAAATGGTATATTATTGATTGAGCATTGATGATGGAATTTGGCTTTCAGGTATGAATATTGGTCAGACTTGCTCAATGAATTTTCCTACATCTTTGTACAAATTTTGACCAATTTCACCACAAGAATACATGTCATGAAAGCCTGAGATATAATAACCAGACCAAAAAAGGCCATTCCCTGGTGCCTGCAGTGGATGAATTTCAACAATATTTCTGATTTTACATGATCCACATATTTTTATAAGTGAGTTTCTGGGGTCCAGAGTAGAGTTGGTGAAATGTATTGTCAAAGTTTGTGACATGTGCAGTCAAAGTTGGTGAAATGTCTGGTGATGAAGGTTCACAGGTAATGAATTTTAATTCAGCACAGGGGACTATATTTGACCTCAGACACCACAAATTTTCACTCCTGCTATACTACGTGAGAGGGTCAAACATCCAATCAGGATACTATTTTACTTAGGTTAGTCAACCCTTCTTTTGTGACACTTTTTAGCATTCCAAATGATGATTGGAGGCATTTGGCTGTAGTCTGGCTCTGGGTATTGTGAAACTCATGGAGAGTTTACTCAAACTTTTTCATTGAGATACTTCAACTGCCCTTGTCAGCACTGACGAAATATATTCCGCTACCTTTTTACCGCCTCTGAAACAAACCCTCTTTTACATGATCCTCTTTATCTGACAGTCTAAAGGTACCTGATACTGACTACTTTTTGATCTTTGTTCACATTAGCTAGGTTTTTGTCTTTCACTTTATCACTACTGGGTAATTCCAAAAGCAGTTTTTAGCTAAGGGCCTCAAGGCTTGAGAGCCTGGCACCATGCAAATAAAACTTTATAGACTTGGCATGTTTAGAGGTTAGTGGACCCATCTGCTCTTTTTCCCCTCCTCTAACTCCCAGTTTACCAAAGGAGGAAAACTCTACCGCAATATATTTGTGAGCCCAGTTGTGGCAAAGAGCATTATACCTTATTCATAGTTACTCTGATTCAAGTCTTCAGGCTCAGTTCTCAGTTAGCTTCACAAAATTTTAATGGCAAGACATGAATTAACTTGCAATAATTCTTTGTCTTTTTTTAACAGGTCATCAATTATTAGAGGATGTTGATTGTAAATGTTTGTCCTTGAGCCTTTGTCTGTTCTTGCTATGATAAATTTTGCTTGCTGTCATTGTTCATCAGTCCTCATGTTATCTACTTTTAATACTTCTCCCTTGCAATTATCAATTATTGTTTGTCTTTACCCAGTTGAAATGATACACCTGTGCTTTCTGCTGTGAAACTTTTCTTCTAATTTACTCTTATCAAATTTTGTTATCACTTTTTTCTTCCTTGGTTGTCTTCTGGTCTTCCACTGTTGTTCAGAGTCTATCAATGAAATTGATTTTATTTTCATTGACCTTCCATGCAATCTCTGCCTCCACATCTGTTGTGCTCCACTTTCTACCTCTTCTAATCAAATCATCCATTATATCTTTCCCCCTGAGCATTCCTTCATGCCACCTCAAGGTACTTACTAGGCCATTAGAGACAGCAGCCTAGCAGGTGTATAAGGTGATTTGATGAGCTTGTTCAGAGCTGTTCATTTTTTGCAAAGATTGAGACTGTTGCCTGGCTTTGCTTGAACCTTGAGAGACTTTGAAGACATCTGTTGACTTGTGAAGTTCCTTGTGTCCTTTGTTCAGCCAACTTCTTGAGGATGAAGTGTCTTGGACCAGGCCACATTGCCACAATTCTCTCTGTTGTGATACATCATTTCTCATATTACATAAGCAATATTTCATTATTTATCTTGTTACATTGTTTTATAGTTTTATTATATATTTTCACTATAGTTTTATACTTTCTACTCTTCAACCCAAGTATATATGTGTTCTTGTGGATAAATCTTATTCATCTATGTATGTAATTATATTTTTTCCATCTCATGATCTCATCTAAACCACCAGAGCACCTTGATGCCAAACTGTCGAGGGTGTCATGGGCGGACCAACCTCCCCTGACCCGGCAAACCTTCTTGTCTGCTGACGTCAGTTAAAGCATCTCCAACGCGGGTGGAAAACCCGGAGTGGTAAACAAAGGATTTACCACCTGTGTTCCAGAGTTGCCACCTGAAATCAGGCAGGTGCGCCATTGCAAAATGGCAAACCTGCACTGAGATTGAATGAGCAAGGTTGAGTGAGGGGCATTTGTGTGTGAACCGGTTGCAATTATGGGGGTTTCACGAGATGGAGGGTGGATATCACGGATCCCACAGCGGTATCAAGGGAGGTACCGGGGTGGTAGATCTATCACCTTGGTACATTTTTTGGACTGAAAATGTAGCTTACCACCCTGCATACCACCCGCGGTGGTGGGGTGTTTTGGGAATTGGGGTGGTAAACAGGGCTTACAACCCCGATTTACCACCCGCGTTGGAGATGCTCTTAGGCAGCTTTGTGGCCAGGGAGGCGGGGTGGTCAGAGACCTGACCCTTGTCTGCCGGGTGGGCAGTGCATTGGGATTGGTCAACCCGCCTGCATATTTACAAGTGTCTCAGGGGTCTGAGACGCCCTGAGATTATGGATTCAGGGACCTGCGGGCGGTCTACCCAGTGTTTCATAACACCTGCATGTGATGCTCATGCAATTATGGCCTGTTGTGTCCTGCACTTGCTGTCCAGTTGCTGTCGGAAACTCTGATTGATCCTCTGGCTCTGCGGACGACTGCGGCTGTTGTTCAGTCCGTTACGGAAGCTCACAGGGGACACAAATCACGCCACCCTGACTGATCCCCCCCCCCCCGAACTCACTCATGCATCCAAGGAATTATTTTTTTCTTATACATTCACTTTTTTTTTTTCTCACTGATATAATGACTACATGTACAAGTGTGAAATCTCTGTAGATAAAATAAATTCATTAGATTTTCTATTTTTTCTTTCACCTCAATCAAGTAAGGCCCTGATTATAAACAATATTTTGAAATATATTTGAAAGTTTTCCAAAAGTATTTGAACTTCTTTTTTATTTCTTTTTCATTTCTTTTTTCTTTCAAAACCTCACTCAAAAACTTTCAAACCACCTCTGGAGGTGGTTTGAGATCTCAAAAACTTCATTTCTGCAAAGAATGCAGGATTTGGGTTGGCATTTGACTGTATGGTATCAAATCATATAGGAGCCCATGCTCACAGTGGATATGTACAGTGGATAGCAATCCATTCTCACCACATCCTTGCCCAACCAATCCGACTGCCCCCATCTCAAGGAATCATCAACCCAGCCCAGCCATCAAAGACCAAGGCCAGACCTTAATGGGTTCCCGCAAACATACATCCAGTAACCTACTCAGCACTGACGGCATCCTTCTACAAATCCTTTGGTTCATTATTGTAGATTCCAGTGGTGTAGTTGCCTAGTCGTTGTTGATAAAGAAATAAACCCCCCACGTCCGATGTTCCCCTCCCCCCAATCAAGATTCCGGCTGAAAGCACATTTAATCGGTTGTGTCTGCGTCACAAATCCGCCGCACCTGATGAGATTTCTGGAGTACAAGCACAAGGTGCATAAAAATCCACCCACACCGCATCCAGCGCCTGCGGGCCAGTGATGTTTTATAATTGCATAAAATATTTGAGTCTGTTTCAAAAACTTTTTGAACTTCTTTTTCATTTCTTATTGATTTCTTTTTTGTTTTCAAATACCTTTTCAAATAAAAAAAGCCAAAATCCAAAAACTTTGTTTATAATCAGGGCCTAAATTTCTTAATTTTTTTTCGCTCACTGAAGTAATAACAACATGGACAAGTGTTAATCCTCTGTAGATAATATAACTTGATTAGATTTTCAATTTTTTGTTCACCTCAATCAAACAAATTTCTAAATTTTCTTCTCTCATTGATGTAAGAACTACATGTACAAATGTGAAACCTCTGTAGATAAAATAACTTCATTAGATTTTCTATTTTTTTCTCCTCAATCAACCAAGTTTTCTTACATCACTTGTAATATAAAAGTATTATATAGTAATTCAACCAATTTAAGATGTAACATCTTGATGATAATTTTACTTTATAATAGCCTGAGGGAAGTAGTTAAGGATGAATCGTAAAAATTACATAGAATTAAATATCCATCTAGTGATATTTCACATAACAAAAAGTAGAAACCTTTAGTTTGAGATGTTTGATCACTTTATTTGTTGATTGCATGTCTCCTGTAGCTATAGTGTGAATACAGATCCTCTAATGAAACGTTTTCAAAATATACATGTCGGATAATCTGGTTATAAAAGGGAAAGCACAAGCAAATGAATAAGTTCAACAGTGGCTGGAGGTCTTCCTGTCAATTTTACAGGGCCTGTAAAGCTAAAATAAATTTACATGTCCTTTGATTAACACCGGCCCCATCTATCGGATTTCCAGTTCCGGCCCAAAAACCAAAAAGAGATGTCGCAAGGAGCTTGATTCAGCCTCATCCATTTACGGTAAGTGGTAGCTCAAACGAGTCTAACTAAGACTGAGCAAAACAACTCATCCCTGCTTTGAACCCTTCTTTCTGATCCAAAGCAGATGAAAGGCGTCACATGACAGCAAGGGAAAGGGCCCAATGTGGGACACCCAAGGAGATTCAGAACCTGCTTGTGCCCACCAAGGACGGCAAGAGGTCAGACCTGTGAGTATATAATGAGCCTATTCTTTGTGTCCAGGATAACAATCCCCAGACCAAATCAATTGCTCATTCACTTAAAGCTACCACAGTATCATCTCCCACCGAATCTCTTCCAAACCACTTGCCAACCGCATTAGTCCCTAAACCGCAGAATAAGCTTCCCTCTAGGATGACTTCGCTTGTGACTACAGAACTAATTGGTGACTTTACATCCTTAACAGACAACAATCTAACAAACTCTTGACTTAGGAGTCTTACCATTGTGCCCACCGGCCAGGACCCTATCTTAAGTACGAACTGAGACTTACCTAAAAGGAATCCTCAACCTTAACTGACCAAGTCCTCCTGGACACATCATGACTTAAAACAGATTTCTTTTTCTATCTTGCTCACCTTCAGATCTTCCACCCTAATTGTCTCTCGCTTGATTCTTTCTCTAGCTCAGAACGTAAAGAAACCACAAAAACATTTCATTCTTTCTCTTATAACTACTCTCGTTGATAGTAAGACTAGTCCTGCTCTTAGGTAAAGAGTCCTTTCTTCATCATCATCAGAATCAACAAATACAAGATTGTACATAGTCACTTGATTCTAACGCAATCCATGCTCTTAGTTGTCATAATTCTCACACCATCCCCCCTCCGGTCTGACTCAGCACTACTCTCCTCTCCGATTGGCGCTCCAATTGGCTCTCATACCCTCTTCTGATTGGTCCTTGTAACCTCTTCCTACCATCTCCAAGCAACTTCTTCAAGATGGCACCATCAACTTCCCCTCAACAAACCCACTCTATCCAATGCCGCATTGAAATGTTCTAACAATGCCTCAAAGGTCTGAACATTGGCACCCATAGTGGTGACATTGATCGATCATTACCGACCATTTGCAAGTGAGCCCAGGCACTACTCAATTGATGATGACCAGCCAGATCGTTTCGCGTAAGGAGTCTTTGTTGAACGTGATTAAATTCATCAGATCAAGGTTTGATGGGAGGGTGTGAGGGTGGAGTGTGTGGTGCTCTGGCAGACAGGTTGGTGAGGATGTGGTCGGTTAGCCCACTTGTTCTGAGTCACACTGTGACAGCAAGGCTTCAGCCAATGCTGTATTTTTGATAAATTACATTGTAGCTTGATGCCGACGGAAAGCTACATTTACAGGGTGCTGGAAATTTGGATTTACAGGCTGTAAAAATAGCTTTACAGGCCCTGTAAAATCGACGGGAAGACCTCCACTCACTCTCTAAATCATAACACATTATCAGTTCACTTTTTTGGTCTCCGCTCACCGATTTTAACCCTTATCATTACACCAATCTACCACCACCACTCCCCAATTATAAGCCCTAAAGCTAGTCATGTCTCACTGTGCTAAATGTAAGCATAGGACTAATGGTCCTTTTATTCAAGGATGGTGTATGAGGTGTATTGAATCTACCATTAGAAAACAAGATCATACCTCTTC